TTGGTAGACAGCAACCACCCAGGGAGGTACTACCATCCTGCCAAGTAAGTGTAAAACGAAAGCCTGTAATTGTTTTACATGATGGTAGGATTGCTGGTGTCTTTTTTTCTGTCTCATAAACATGCAAGATTTCACATACGTCTTGCTACTTTCTACTTACACTTAGATCACACTACACATATATGTACACATTTATGTATACACATTCATCTGAGTTTTCTTTGATTTTATCTTAATAGTTCTTGTTCTTGTTTATTTCCTGTTATCTCCATGGGGAAGTGGAACAGAATTCTTCCTCCGTAAGCCATACGTGTTGTAAGAGGCGGCTAAAATGCTGGGAGCAAGGGGCTAGTAACCCTTTCTCCTGTATATATTACTAAATGTAAAAGGAGAAACTTTTCGTTTTTCCTTTTGGGCCACCCCTCCTTGGTGGGATACGGCTGGTGTGTTGAAAGTTCTTGTTCTTATTGCTTTTCCTTTCACATCCATGGGGAATTGGAATAAGAATCATTCCTCCGTAAGGCCATGCATGTTGTGAAAGTCAACTAAAATGCCAGGAACAATGGGCTAGTAACCCCTTTTCCTGTATAGCCTACTAAAAAGAAAGAAGAAGAAAACCGTCAAAGTGGGATGTTTGAATGTGCATGGATGTTGTGCTAATAATAAGAAAGAGATGATTGTGGATGTTATGAATGAGAAGAAGCTGGATGTCCTTGCTTTAAGTGAAACATAGCTGAAGAGGGTGGGAGTTTCAGTGGGGAGAAATAAATAGGATTAGGTCAGGGGTTTCAAATAGAGTTAGAGCTAAAGAAGGAGTAGCAATAATGTTGAAGGATAAGTTATGGCAGGAAAAGAGGGAATATAAATGTATAAATTCAAGGATTAGGTGGAGTAAAATAAGTGATGGATGTGAAAAGTGGGTTATAGTATGCATTTATGCACCTGGAGAAGAGAAGTGTAAAGGAGAGAGATATTTTAGGAAATGTTGAGTGTATTAAATAGGAGTGAATGGAAACGAATGGTTTTTGGGACCTGACGAGCTGTTGGAGAGTGAGCAGGGTAATATTTACTGAAAGATTCAGGGAAACCGGTTATTTTTATATAGCCAGACCTGAGTACTGGAAATGTGAAGTACAATGCCTGCACTTTAAAAGAGGGGTTTGGGATATTGGCAGTTTGGAGGGGTATGTTATATATCTTTACATATGCTTCTAAGCTGTTGTATCTGGGCATCTCTGCAAAGACAGTGATTATGTGTGAGTGAGGTGAAAGTGTTGAATGATGAATGTATCTTTCTTTTTGGGGATTTTCTTTCTTTTTGGGTTACCCTGCCTTGGTGGGAGACGGCCGATTTGAAAAAAAAAAATCACATGCAACTGACATTTTAGGTTCCTTCCTGATACTAACACTTGCTTGAAAGACCATGATTAATCATTATATATGTACTTTACAATAAAAATAAACAGAAAATGGAGAGTGAACAACAACTGCTTAATTTTGATTGTGTTTGCAATAACAGTCTCCACCTACTAGCTACTCAGCAAAGTAACCAAAGCAGATAATTCTCTACCTAGTTCATTTTTGTCTATTCTTTCCAAAAACTGTTAAATGTACATCTGTTAAAGTCTGCTACCAAGCAGAACTTTCAAGGTTAAAATACATTATTGTGTAGAGAGTTTTAATGTTTATTAAAAAAATTCTATTACTGAATTTATCTCAGATACTAGCTGCAGTACAGTTTTATTTTTAATTAAGTCTTCATTGTACAGTATTTTAAATAGGTTAAATATTTGCACTTCACGGAAATACAATTAAATAAGTCAAATGAAATTACTATAGATATTACGAAGTATAACAATATTGTTCAGTGATTATAACAACAGCACCAAAATAGCACTGAGGAGCAACTTAGTGCACTGGTAGTCTGACAACGAAATTTGTATTCATCATTATTTTTGTAATACGTATCTCTAAATTAGAACCAGTCCTAAATTTAATTTTTAAGCAATTTATTTTTAAAAAGCTTGAATAAACTAAAGAATTAAGTTTAAAAAAATATGGATAAGGATTAGTGTCTGCAGTGTGACAAGTTTAGGCATTAAGCAGTACAAATTTCAAAATGGAAATTAATCACATTTGCAAAATTGTAAATTTCATATTAATGTATAGTTGTAATGTTATTTCTGCAATGTCTCAAGTTCTACTGAATCTTATTCAAGGCAACAGAGAGAAGTAAAAGTATGGAAAAATCATTGCCTGCCACTGTAGATTTTTTTTAGGGAGCTTTTCATTTCTCCATTCATTAAAACAATGCTCTCAAGAAATCAGAGCTTCAGGTTATGATGGCAAACACTGTTCAGGGCCAACATTATTTACAATCACTTGAAGTAAGACTAGCATCTTTCCTGATTTCCCAGTTTCCACATTAGCACTATTCTTGCTTTGATAAAAAACAAAAATATTAGTACATGTATCAAGGTTGGAAAGAAATAAAAACCTTTATATTGTATGTATCCCTTGATGAGAGGTGCCATGATGCTGGTGAAAGGCTCTTCATCAAAGTAATTTGAGCTGCCCTCCCCTTCTTCGGATCAAGTCTGATTACCTCCCTTCCCCAGCCTCATTATGGCCCCCACAGTTTTAATGTTTACCCCATGAATAATAATTAATAATAATATAAATACAGGTGCACATCCTTTTATCCAAAATCCTTGGGGCCTGTATCGATTCAAATTTCAGAATGATTCTCGACGCTGCCACATGGCAGCATGACCCAGCATGGAGATGACTAATGCTCCACACTTCACGAAAAAACTTCAGTTTTCGGAACTTTCCAATTTTCAGAATTTCGGATAAAGGGATGTGGACCTGTAATATTATAAGTATAATAATGATGTACTGCATGTACAAATTTAAGACCTAAATAGTTACGTTCTGAATAGTATTTCCTTGACTAACACTGATTCTTTAGTTTCATATCACAAAAAACATATACATGTACCTTAATTTAACTGACATTAAAATTTTTCATAAATACAATATGTACTCAAGTAGAACTGATGGCACACACATTGGAAAACTTTAAATGGGGTCAAATGGAAATAAATGGTATAAAATACCGACACAATGGAAATATAAACACATATGCAGTATAATGTGATCCTTTATTGACTACGTTTCGCCCCACACAGTGGGCTTTTTCCAAGTCACAAACAGAGTTCTGTTTGTGACTTGAAAAAGCCCACTGTGTGGGCAAAACTAGTCAATAAAGGATCACATTATACTGCATATGTGTTTATATTTCCATGGGGTCAAATGCTTGTGATACAAAATATATTCTAGACATGACTTGGATAAAAAAAAAATACTGAAAATGTAATGGTAGTGCTAAAAACTTCACAATATTTCTGACAAAAATGGAAACAGTCAGTTGAAATAATTAATAAACATGAAAAGGAGCAACTGCTGATGCTAAGCAGGTCCTCCTCACATTTTACCATAAGAAAAACAATCAAGGAGAATTGCAATAGACCTAATGGCCCATGAAGGCAAGTCCTGACAGCCAACCATTACATTACAGAGGTACACTGCAGGAAGCCCACTGGCCCATGTTAGGCAAGCCCCAGAAGACATGTTTGTTTGGCAGAAATTGGTAAAGAACTGTAGATTTATTATGTTTTCCAGCAGTAATTTCCTGTTGTACTGTAAACAAACTGGGGGATGAGGGGATTTTCCTCCATATTTGTGAATTTTTTATGGTTTTTGGTTACTCAGTAACCGTGAGCCATGCATGTCATAAGAGGCGACTAAAATGCCGAGAGCAAGGGGCTAGTAACCCTTTGTCCTGTATATATTACTAAATTTAAAAGGAGAAACTTGTTTTTTCTTTTGGGCCACCCTGCCTCAGTGGGATATGGCCAGTTTGTTGAAAGAAGAAGAAATGTTTAGGATAACCCCTAAACTGTCCAAACATAGATCTACGTTCGCACACGTAGCGCTCCGAACGTAGATCTATGTTTGATTTTACATTATGTAAAAAAAAACGTAGATCTACGTTTGGGGCACTACGCGTGCAAACGTAGATCTACGTTTGGACAGTTTAAAGGTTAATTTAGCCTTCCCTAACTGAATCTAACATAACTTGCAGAGAGAGGATTAGAACTCCTTGTAACAGTGCTTTACCAGGTGTCCCCAGAGCCTCACCAGGTATCCCCAGAGCTTCACCAGATGTCCCCAGACCCTCACCAGGTATCCCCAATGCCCCAATCAGGTCTTGGTTCCTGGTTTGCACAAATGAAACCACTGGACATTATTTAATTAATTTGTATCACTATGATGGAATATGGTCACCAAATGTAGTTTTGTTCTTGATGCATCCAAAAGTAGGAATCTAGTGTACAGGAGACCTTCAGTGTGTAAGGAGTTTCACCTCTTAAAAGTACTATTACTTATGAACAGACTGCCCCCCCCCCTACTATTTTGCTTAAAAATTTGGTCTTAGAATTGTGACCTTTACTTGAGTATATATATTGTACATGATTCTGTAATTTAGTGACACTACATATCAAGAAATAAAGAAGCAGTCATGGTAAATAATAGATATTATTTGAGATGCTGTATAAAAAAAATCTGTAGATTACAAAATGAGATTTTCCGAATTTTTAAGTAACCTATCATTATATTGTAATACCCTATTTCAATGAAAAATCTATTGTGGTCATCCATTCATTAAATGTGATGACTTTCTGATTTCTATAAACCAGCGGTAAACCAAAACAGTGAAAAAGAAAAAGTTTCCAGTCTATGCCTTGATTGAGAGCACACTGATAGAAATATTTTGCTGTTTGCAATTTTTTATTTCTTTACCTTAACCCTTTAAAATCAATGAATGTGTAAAATCATTTAAATTAATAAAAAATAAAATCTGCTCCTATGATACAGCCAACATTGGTATATTTTTACCTCAAGTTTTAATACTTTACTGCAATAAGAAGTCATGGAAATTTTATGATCACTTGTATTTTTTACACAACTGCACAGGCAAAAAAAATATATAGTTGACAAAAAACACTTAAATTTTAAATGCAAGAAATTATACCCATCTCTTGGCAAGATAAATATGTACACGATGGGGTTAAACACACTACTCTTCTAACGTACTGACAAGAAACACTATATTACTCTCCATACTTTTCCCAGTTCACCATGATCTGTACTTCAAGGAGGTTGTTCAGATGCTGGTGGGCTTGTCATTCAAGGAATTGGAGTTAACCCTTCACTTTCCTGAACCAAATCTATTAACTCCCATTTCCCAGGTTCTGTACAACTCCAATAGGTTTATTATATTGTCATGAATATATAAGCCACATCAGTAAATAAATAAACAACAGCTTTTCAAATTTTAAGCACATGATACTTATGACTGAATAATTATGTCACTCACATAAGGTTTCTAATCTTTATATGATGTTTTTGCTTAGTAATATTTATAGTCCTCAATACTTTGTGCCCTAGAATATTCTACATTATACTTTTAAATTATACTTTTTTCTCGCAAAACGTTCTAGCACCATGCTTCACTTATATTCACTGTTATTTACAAAGGATTTCCATATGTAAAGTTTGTAGTAAATAGAAACTAAAATCAGAGAGCCAAAACACAAGTGCCTGGTTCAAAGTGCCCATTACAAGAACACTGTTAGTCAATCAGGACTGCTTTTGATGAGAGAAGTCTCAATTTATCACATTACTTTCAGTGTACAGTAACATGCATACTTTTCTTTAATCCACATGAATTAAATTTAGTAGAGATTGATTTTCTTTGATATAGGTTTACGACACATGTGGCACGTTTTCAGAGTATGAGCACATACAACACAAGCACTATGGCCACATAAGAAAGCAACGTTGCGCCCACGCTCCATACATATACTGCAGCAATGAGCTTCTTCAATCTCAGCAATCTTGGTTTCCAAATACCTCAACCTCTCAGCTGAAGGGTGTCTAGATTTGCTTGAAATTGTCTTCCCATCTGAAATTTATGAATTAAGTGGACCTGGTGTATATCAGCAAATACTGTGCATTTAAAAGGTTTCTAAGTTAATCAGTGGTTATATGAATATTTAACTCTTAAGCAACAAACCTTCTTTAGCTAAGTTATGCAAGCTCAGCTTCCACCCTATAATTAATTGTTATCATACATCATATCCTTACAGACTGCCATTCTGATAATGACAAAAGGGTCATTCCATATCAAATGAACCAATTTTGAAAATTTTTCCCACCTGACCATCTCCAATTTCAATAAAATTTTACATGAAGGTTGGCATGTATATCAAACTAACTTTGAGAAAATTTTATTTCATGATATGCAGTAGTAGTAATGCCCCTCAAGGTGGAGGCAGGTGAAAATTTCACCAACTCACAGGCACAATCAACAATGTTCAGAATACTGCTGTGGCAGATCTTGAAGAGTAAAAGTTGTATAAGAACACATGCCTATACTTACTCTGCTATGGAAAACTCAAGAAATTAAAGCTGTGTCAGGGTATAAAATAAATTCCAACCACACATAAGAGCAAAAAACAAATGTGAAGGACCTAGGAGTGATAATGTCAAAGGATCTCACTTTCAAAGATCACAACAATGTATCGACCACATCTGCTATGAAAATGATAGGATGGATAATGAGAACCATCAAAACTAGAGATGCCAACCAATGATGATCCTCTTCAAATCTCTTGTTCTCGCTACGCCAGAATATTGCTGCACACTAATGGTCTTTTCCAAGGCAGGCAAAATTGCAGACCTAGAGAACATACAGAGAATTTTCATGGCACGTATAAGTACAATAAAGCACCTAAATTACTGGGAACAGTTGTGGTCCCTTGATATGTATTCCCTGGAATGCAGGCGAGAAAGACATATCAATATCCACTTGGAAAATCCTAGAGGAACTAGTCCTAAATCTGCACACAAAAATCACTCCCAATGAAAGCAAAACACTCAGCAGGAGATGCAACATCCCCCCAATGAAGCAGGAGATGCAACATTCCCCCCAATGAAAAGCGTGGGTGCCACAAGTGTGCAAAAATTTTAACACAACAAGTGTCAGGGGCCCAAGACTGTTCAACTGCCTCCCAGCATACATAAGGAGGATTACCAATAGACCCCTGGCTGCCTTCAAGAAGGTGCTGGACAGGCACCTAAAGTCAATACCTGACCAGCCAGGCTGTGGTTCATACGTCTGTTTGCGTGTGGCCAGCAGTAACAGCCTGATTGATCAGGCCAGATCCACTGCAAGGCCTGGTCACAGATCAGGCCATGGGGGCATTGACCCCCAAAACTCTCTCCAGGTATACAACTTTTGGAGCTGATTTCAATAATTGCAATCCTAAAACTTACATGCTTTTAATTATTTCACAGTAAGAACCCAAAGCAGGCAAAAAATCTGTTGTATGAAATTCAATCTTGAATTCAGCTGCCTATATTTCTAAAGAAAAACATTATTTTGGTATGTATCAACACTTTTTTTTTGACAACTTTAAGCTTAATTTGCAAAATAAATAGTGGTCCCTATCAATTCATATAATTTCTGAAATCGCCACCAAAAATTGTATAAGAACACCTAAATATGAGGTTCTGCTGTTGTTGCTCTATAATAATAGCAAATGAAAAATGCCTGGTTTTCATTTTAACATTGTGCAAGCCAAAAAAATCATCTTATTTTAAGGTCTGTTTTCTCCCTTCCAAGGGCAAAATGCCTATCCAGAAAATAGATATCTTGTAGTTTAGAATCTGCTCCTTCTAATGAATGTTTCTTTAAGAAAATTGGTTGTGCTGCTTTTTTGCTACTGATTTTCAAAAATGGCCTAAAATTCACCCTGAGGTCTGTGAGAGCATTTTTAGGTACCATTAGTACAGGAACTTAAAAAGGTTTAGAGTCTGATATTTTAGGAGCGTGACGTTGTCCACTTGGGTAGCTGGCTACAATAATATCAAACTAAAATAATATTTCCCTTTAGAGATACTATAGGCAGCTGAATTCAAGATTCAATTTTAAAAGACAGATTTTTGCCTACTTTGGCTTTATACTGTGAAAAAATTAAAAGCATATAAGCTTTAGGACTGAGTTTGAAATCAGCTCCAAAAGTTGTATAAGCATGTCTACTTACACAACTTTTATTCTTCTACATCTGCCACAGCAATAACCTGAACACTGCTGATAGTATGTTGCAGATTGGTGAAATTTTCACCTGCCTCCACTCTGAGAGCCATAGCATTACTACTATTGCACATCATGAAATAAAACTTTCCCAAAGTTAGTATGACATATATGCCAACCTTCATGTAAAATTTGATTGAAATTGGAGATGGTCAGGTGCTAACCCCTGGTCTACTTGACATGGAATGACCCAAAGTCCAATGTATATACTTAAATTTGCACACACACACTGATTCTGGTTATAGAAGAATTTATTAACAAAGTTGCAGCAGCAACCAGTTACTGCAGCACCAGTGTCTGGAAACTTTTGGTCATAGTTGTATTATGGCTATCTCTCCATAAGCATACATATGTCCATTTACACAGCAATAATACAAACACTATTAGTTTATTTCTTCCTATGTCTACCTTATCAAGCTGATCTGACCTAATTACTGTCTTCCTAAAATAATTATACCTATATGTATACAGTAGGTTGGGCCTTACTTTCCAAGCTTCAGTATTTTTTCCTGACCATCTATAAAGCTTTCGCTTTGTTGAAACACAATGAGCAAAAATTCAACATAATATTTTGAATATTAAAATCTATCAAGGGCCTCAAAGTTTTGCCTTATGACCTATTACGTCAATTTTTTAACGTTTATGTTATGACCCCAATGATGCATATTAAATGAATTTCGGACATTCACAGATGATAGATGTAACCCCTGCATCTATAAAAAGGTGAACAAAGGTACTTATCTAGAACTAAAAAGAAGGTGCTGAAAACCTCTTCCCAGATGACAGAGAAGCAAGTCAAAAGCAAGGGTGAATTTAAAGATATTTTCAACAGTGCCTATTCAAAAGCTCTTGAAATCATAAGTAATGAGGAGGACAAAGCTTTCCTCCTTGCTCAGTGAGGAAAAAGAGAATCAGTGAGCAATGTCTTCTGTTAACAATGTCCTCACAAAGAAAAAAGAACAGGTGGTGATGTTAGCCAAGGAGCAGGAACACCAGAAGGTGAATGAGGATGCTGAACGTTTAAAATCACTCTTGAAAGGAGCAGTAATCGTACTTCTGCAGTTGAAAAATCTATGGATGATCAAGTTCCAGGTCCAAGTTAATACTCTGACCCTTCACAAGTGCATCTGAAACGAGGTTTCAAATTCAGCTCTCTTGGCTCATCTGGACAGCAACAAAGTGCTTGATGGAGTGGTAATGATGAGTGTTGGGAGACAGTCATGAATTTATCTCTGCCACTAACATTTGAGAAACCTTCAAACCTGATATAGCTCTAATAGTCCACTGGCATAGTAAGCTCCAACAAGATATTACTTGAAAGGACCCAACTGAGTGCCTACCTGTACCAATGCCCACAATGGATAGAGGCACAAGGTTATGCAATTTTCAATGTCTGAGAGGAAAAGACTGATGATAAATGAGGGATGCACTTCAACAGTGACTGACAAAGAGCACCCTTCTACACTTTGCTTGTCAACATGACATCCTCAAACTGGTAGCTGAAGCAGTGAGGCAACAGTGGAAATTCACAGATTATGAACAGTTTGAAAATACCTCTACTGACCAGCTGACCACTGAAGCCACTGCAAACATGCTTATGACTTTCCTCAACTCAGCCATGAATTAAATCCAGTCACACTATGATTACCATGAACTACTTGAGTGCATCTTGCTCTTTCTTAACACTCCACCTCATGGCACACAATGTACAGCTCCTGGGGCAACTCATTATGCCCAGTGGATGCCAAAGACAATCTATATCTTCAAGGTATGAATGTTTCATATCCAGTCTTGCTTAATGGTGTGTAAAGAAAAAAATGGCCATCATGACCTTTGCATCTCTTTGTCAAAGCCAAGAGTGCCAAAGGGCAGTTTTTAGTCTTCCAAAATTCCTTGTGGTGTACAACACAATCTATGCTACAATTTCCAAAGTAACACCATAAATGATGACCAACAATGTCACTAATGACATTAGAGATTGCATGGTCAAAGCCTTGTTAGACATCTACAGCAATAAGAACCATTTTAAATGAGTGCATGTATCTCGGGTTATATTGCAAGACACCAGTTGTCAAATTCACGACCAAGAACAACAGGGCCCTCCTCACCAAAATCAATGTCTTAAGGTTTCATGCAAATCCATGTGTTGCAATGGAAGAAGAATAAGGATTATCAAATAGCTCAGACTACAACAGACACTAGCAATCACAATCATGCCAAATGTGGAGTTGCACTGGTTAAGGATTTTACACAATGCCTGACAAAGAATGAAAAACAGCTCTAGTTTGTTCTCCAGATGGTTGCTGACCATCACAAGCAATACCCTCAGGCCTTCAAGCAGACCCTGCAAAGACATACTGAGGGTAGCAAAGAGTGATTGGTCACACATCAGTATCCAGTGGTATTTCCTGTAACCTTACTAAATTGCTATGATTAACAAAAGTGATTTTTATATCATCTTTGAAATACAATACTTTTGCAAGCTTTTAATGCTTCTAGCTATTACTTTAACACTAAACAGCAGCTTATATACACTCTATATCAGCAGAAAGCTTACAAGTCATACATACAGTGGACCCCCGGTTAACGATATTTTTTCACTCCAGAAGTATGTTCAGGTGCCAGTACTGACCGAATTTGTTCCCATAAGGAATATTGTGAAGTAGATTAGTCCATTTCAGACCCCCAAACATAAACGTATAAACATACTTACATAAATACACTTACATAATTGGTCACATTCGGAGGTAATCATTATGCGGGGGTCCACTGTATAACATTAACAGAAAAATGAAGAAACTTCTGGCATTGTACGACATCTACATTATACATTGAAAATTCAAAGATCTTAAACAATCTCTAATTATTAAAATGAAAAAGGACCACCAAGGTATACAGTACTATATTAATATAAATTTAGTCTTGGCTATTATAGTGCAACATCGAAATAATTATATTGAAGTCAAACTCAGTGAAATAAAGCAAATGAAGATTTACATATCATATGAATGCTTCATAATTAAATTTGCTCACTGCGATTAATTTTGAAAGTGGAAGACAGAGCCCAATTATATAACTTACCTTTCGTAACTTTTGAGACTACTACATCATGACACCTAAGGCATTTTTTTACTCTGCTGGAACAGTCTTCACAGGTTACACAATGTCCACAAGGTTGGAAAATAATGGTTGAGGGATTCTAAACAGATGGAGCAATCGCCTGTACCGTCTTCTGCCTGAAATCCAAATTTTAAATATTTATATAAGGCAAAGGAACTGTTTGTTACATTAATGATTTTAGGAATGGTGCATGAAAGAATGGATAATGAGTAGTGGTACAAGTTTTGGATAAAAAATATATGGAAGAATGTAACAGGTAGTGATTTGGCAAGTTTTTCAAATCTAGATAATACATTAGTAGTTGCTAAAAACTCCATGGGGAAGTGGAACAGAATTCTTCCTCAGTAAGCCATATGTGTCGTAAGAGGCGACTAAAATGCCAGGAGCTAGAGGCTAGTAATCTGTTGTCCTGTACACATAACTAAGGTTAAAAAGAGAAACTTTTGTTTTTCTTTTTGAGCCACCCTGCCTCGATGGGATGTGGCCAGTTTGTTGAAAGAAGATTACTACTATGATATAGGTAATACACTCTGCAATACAGACTTCCCTTTTGTGTTTTTTGAAATCTCATTACTCTTTCTCTGTTGTCCTTTTCCTTTACTATAAGGGAATGTTTTAACAAAATACTAGAGGAAGACTTTTGGATACAATAACCATAATTTTCATTAAAATGTACAAATTTCATTCCAGCAAGGCACTGAAATACAACAGAAGAAATCAAATACGGTTTCTGAGAAAAATATGCCAAAAATGTGGAGAGACCAAGACAAAGAAAAGGGGGGTACACTAAGTACAAAGATAAACAGCATTAATTATGTAATAAAGGGTTTTCTTACCTTTTCCACATTACAGTTGTTTTGTGGCTGAGGTGTTGGTGTTAGCTTGACAAGTTCCCCTGGCACCTTGGCTGGACTTACAGGCTGGGAGTGGGACTGTGGTTTGCCTTGCATTGCAGCAATGCTCGAGGAATCTTGGGAAGGACTCTCTAGTCCTCTCTGTCGAATACTCTCTGCAGCCAAGTCTAAGGCTTTCAGATCCATATCAACACGTGCCATATTGCCTCCACTGTGATGAGATATATGTAAGTGTAATGCTAAATAATCAATAATGCATTTCTACATTTAATTTTTGGGGAGAAACTTGAAAAATAGTATAGAATTAATTTATTACATGTGATATTATTTGTTCTAAAAGTAATCTGTTCAAATTACATGCTGCTACTTATTCTGTAATGCCTATGAGCACTTTTTTAAAAATTGGTCGTCTCCCACTGAGGCAGGGTGACCCAAAATGAAAGAAAATCCCCAAAAGGAAAATACTTTCATCATCATTCAACACTTTCACTGTCTTTGCAGAAGCACTCAGATATGACAGTTCAAAGTCCCTCCAAACTGTCAATATCCCAAACCCCTCCTTTAAAGTGCAGTCATTGTACTTCCATTTCCAGGACTCAAGTCCGGCTAACTGGCTAACCCTGAATCCCTTCATAAAATATTACCGTGCTCACACTCCAACAGCTCGTTAGGTATTTAAATGATTATTTTTTACTGATAAAAGTACAGTATTACTATCATCATCTTAACCATTTAAAAAATGTGTTTGTTTTGTATGTCACAAAGCAGAAAAGCACAAGAAGTGGTGGAGATATGATCCTCTGTCCACTAAGTGCAGTCTGGCCTCTGACCATCACTCTAAAGAATTGGAAGAATGAAGTACAAAAAACTGGTTAGTAAAAATAAGATGATAATAGCATTCTTGATCTACTTTTATTATCCTAATTATCTAGAAGATTGTTACTACCAGTACCAGTAATTGTTTGTTTGTTTGTCTGCCCTTTATTTATAACCAAAGACTTTTGTAAAGTAAATATTTCTGGCATATTTATGTAATTTAATATCTTAATTGAAAATTAATTTCTTATGTTGCATTTATCTTTAATATTTTCTTAATATTGTTTCCTCTAAACAAAAACTGACTCTTCAAGGATAATAGCATTGATAATGACAAATGACCTTAAATTATTGTACAACGTGGTCAAAGATATGCATTACAGTCTTTGGTCTCTTGCTCATTTTATCCTGATATAGCATATACTCCTTTTGTTTTTATATATGAAACATGCTTACACGTATAGCACTTCACAAATGTAGCAGCAGTAATGCAAAGACAACGTGAAACTAGGCTGATCTTTATCTCTCTCTTAATTTTCATTGGGCCAACAACAGGTAAACACTTGAAATGAGAAGTTTTACTATTCAATCAGAATCTATCTGGACTGTGGTAGACCCTAGATGGTGCCACAAACCTTACTTATACTCTACACTCACCCCCCACCCATCGCCTGGATTAATAACAGTGTAATCAATAATTCCCTACACCAAATTTCTTGCATGCTAAAACTAGTATATACAAACCTGGCCTGTGTTGTATAACTCTGCAGAAGATCAATGGTATTGGTGTCATTGATTAGATCCAATGGAGTCTTAGAGCGGATATTGGCAACTGTCACACTGCAACCTTTCTTAGCTAGGTAGCAAGCAAGTGCCAGTGAAACGTTATTTTCAAATCCTCGTTTTGCGATGTCTGTCAGAATCTTTATCAAAAGGATTTGTAAAATTAGAAGTGTCACCTACTTCTTCAGCCTTACATCATCACCCTATCAGCTAAAATTCAAGAAATACAAGGAGACAAAAAATAAAAACAAATGATAAATAACAAAAATTTGTGTAAAAGCAAATGGAGATAAAGAAGTGGCATAAAGCTTTAACATACATAAATATTTATCTAAAGACATAAGACAGCTAAAAATTACAAATTTCTGCATGTTTGATGGAATGCAATAATAGATGTTAATACAAAAAAAAAAAAAAAAAAAGTCAAGAAACCATAAAATCTACCTATCCAAAACAGTTTTGTCACAGAGTAGATCTCTAATTTATAAACAATGCTTTCTGGTTTTTCAACTTAACAGCGAGCTGTCTATAGAAAACAAAAGAAAAGATGGCCATGTTTCAATTATGTTCATACTACACTTCAACAATCATAAAACCTGAACTGGTTTGTAAGTGCCCCTTCTGCAAGGGATGATGTGTGTCATTTAGGGAATTTGCAAGTTGAAGACCTCCATTACGAGTTTATCTTCATCTATTCATAATAACAGATAAATATTTTTAACATTTTAAAAGATCCCTTGACTTAGTGAACATAAGTGCCCACCACATATCTACCTCTCCAAATAATTTTAGGTATTGTACAAGGAATTATGGTATAAAATACACTATTAAGGTATTAACACTGTTATGGACAAATGCAAGAGTAATACCATAATACAGTTACTTGATTGATGAGGGCAGACACAAGGATAAGTCTCTAACAGTAACACTATGCTAATGCTACCCAAATGATAATGACACATGGTAAAAACAAGTCCCTAACAGTAACAGACACATGATCAGGTGTGTAACAATACCATCATCATAATATAGCTAACCAAATGGTGGTGGAAGACACATGGACAAATATTATATAAATGTTTTAGAAAACCAACAAGTTGATGAATGACACACTTGTACAACATTTGGGTATCTTTACTGTGGAAAATTTTTGCCAGCCAGTAGCTTCAGCCTCATGAAACCACTGGCTGACGAAACATTTCCAAATAACCCTGTGGCATCAAAGTATTAACCTGTTATGGACATGTACACACTCATGTAAAGCTATTCTTACTTGGATTGATGGGCGACAATGGGACTACAGTCTTCTAACAGTAACACTATGCTAAATGACTTTTGAATGCAAGGTTTTGGGTACAAAACACAATCCCCTTGACATACCATACAAGATCAGGTGTGTAACAATCCTCATCATTATATAGCTTACCAAATGGGAAGACACATGACAATATTTAATAATGGTTTAGAAAAACGTTGTGGTAGGGGCTTGACCTTTACAAACTTGCGGACTTTATAGGGTGAAAATTTTGGCAGTACTTCAGCCTCATGATATGCGATGGCTGACGGATAATATTTCCAATGATCCTGTGGCATGCAAATGATACTTTAAACCTTATTCGGACTGTGATCACCGAAGTGAAGATCTATCTTTCCAGGAGCGAGGGAACCAGTACTAGTTCGGATAGTGGATATGGTGCTCCAGTCGTTGTATCAGTACCCAGGTTCCAAGCCATGAGAAGACGGTTTGGCAATCGCGTTGAAGTTGTGAGGTATCTCACTTGGATTTGCCTTTTACATTCCCATCCTAGACTGGTGGTGAGCACGGTCCGCTCTCTAGTGATAAAAATTACTAAATAACCGTAAGTAAAAGATAAATAATACCAATTGTTAGAAAAAGTGAAAATAGTGTACATACTTCTGTTTTACTTGGTGAAGGATAATATAAGTCAAAAGTTCTTCTGCTGTGTTTATTTTGCTCCCTTTACACCCAGGATAACAGGCCTTTGAATTCCTGGGTAGTAATATACCCCAAAAGTTGTACAAGTGTCTTATTCATCATCATGGACAAATGTATAACAGAAGTGCAATCATATAGTTACCTGATTAATGTTGGGAGCATGACTTGGGTGAGCCTGTGGGGTGGTGGAATTCTTGAGAAGAGCTAAATGGAAGTGCTGTGTCACCGTCTTCATCACATGCCCGAATGTCTGCATGGTTGTCCACTAGCAGCTCCACTACCCCATAGTGACCCTAGCCAAAAACAAAATTTTCTTGTTTGTCTTATTCACTATCATAGGCCAGTGTACAGTCTTTTATTTTTTATGTTAAATGAAAAATGTCATATAATGGTTTGGCATTTTTTTGTGAGAAGAATAAAAATTAGGATGCCTACCATCAACAAAATAACAATCATGGCTACAACAACCACTACAATAACTACAACCACAAAAACAGAGAGAGTCAAAATGACAAAAACGAAAAATAAAAGCAACACAACAACCTGCCATGGTAGGAAACAACCATATGGATAAATTAATAATAATACTAAATAAATGGAGATGGGAAGTACAGTGTCTACACTCTGAAGGAGAGGTGTTAATGTTGCAGTTTTATAACTGTAAAGCACCCCTCTGGCAAGACTGATGGAGTGAATGAGGATGAAAGTTTTTCTCTTTCGGGCCACCCTGCCTTGGTGGGAATCGGCCAATGTGTTAATAAAAAAAATAAAATGAGGCCTGGCCACGGACCAGGCCGCAGGGGCGTTGACCCCTGAAACCTCCTCCATGTATAATTATTTTCTATAAATCAATAAAGCAGGAATTAGGTTCACTAAAAAGTTATCAACAAAGACTCTGAATACAGTGAAAGACCATAAGCATAGCTACCTGTGATACAGCCAGGAGGAGTGGAGTTTGTTTTTTGTTATTCGTTATATCAACAGCTGCTTGTCCAAGTGTGATCAAAGTTTCAGCTACTTGTCGATGACCATTAAGGGCAGCCAAATGAAGAGCTGCAAAGCCATCCTCTTTCTGTACATCTACAAACTGTCTTGAACGCAAAACTAGTTTCTCAGCCGCACTGCAAAATGGACATGGTGATTAGCAAGTGTGGATAAACAAAACCAAACAACAACAACAACAACTACAACTACTACAACTACTAGTTTTTCTTTTTGGGCTACCCCACCTCGATGGGATACAGCCAGTGTGTTGAAAGAAAGAAAGAAAGAAAGAAAGAAAGAAAGAAAGAAAGAAAGAAAGAAAGAAAGAAAGAAAGAAAGAAAGAAAGAAAGAAGGAAGAAAGGAAGAAAGGAAGGAAATGGGAATCGATGGATAAGGTGTGAAAGGGAAAGAAAGAAGGAAGGAAGGAAAGGAAGAAAGAAAGAAAGAAAGAAGAAAGAAAGAATAGAAAAAATAATAATAATAAAGAAGAACACAGCAATTATAACAATGTAATAAATTAATAATTTATTACAAATGATACATCATTACATTTATAAAAATTTGAGTTACTGTAAATTACAATTTGGTTATGGTATATATTGTCTGAATAGTCCACAGAATGTGCAGCATCTTGGGCAGGACAAAGGATAACATACAGGTTGAAAGGTAGAATAATAATAAATGAAATAATATTAACAAAAAAGGGAAGATATCATGAATAAGACCACTATGTAGTATGAATATTATGCAAAGAATAAGGAACTTAGAAATTAAAATACAGCCTCTCCTCACTTAATGACGTACTTGTTTACCAAGCACTCAAATTTACGATCAGCTCTCCAACCAGAATGCAAACCTAAATAATGTATATTAGAGTTGATTTCCTCCATTCTGTTTATTACAGTATACAGTACACTACTGCATAAACATTTAAAAATATACCTAGAATTTTCAGTATAATGGTTGCAAATAGGTGTGAAATTATAAAAAAAATCAATTCTAAAAATGGGTTTGACACAAACCCACTACCAATATAGTATGCTTGCTTAATGACCAGTTCGCTTATCGACCTACTCTTAGGAACAGAACCCCATCATTAAGTGAGGAGAGGCTGTATTTGGCAGGTGTATGAAAGGTATAACTCAAGAAGGCAGATGAGGGCTTTGCATGGTTTACTAGTCACTTAAAAAATGGATGGAACAGAACAGGTTGTCCAAAAGGATACATATTATAATTAAGGGGATGTGCTAAACCCATCAGTGTCATACAATGAATGGAAAATGGGAGGCAATCAGGTTCAATCCAGGGAAGAGAAGGATAGGTTCACTTCCTTGGAGCCAGAGCCTCATACCGGAATAAAGATACTTCTCTTGAGGAGAAGAGAATGTATAAATCCTGGGTGTATGGAAAGAGGGGGTAGGCATCATCCCAGGAAGGGTTGAAGGAAAGGGCTGATATACATGTAATATACTTGTGACTGATTTCGAGGGCTCTTCTACTTGACCTACCCAGCCTTGGATCAAGCTTCCTTGTCAAATGATTGTTCAATGAGGCTGTTGCTGTTACTGTAGTGGCATGTTGGCTGGCATAGGTATCACAGCCAGATTAATCTGACATTTGGAAGATGCAATGATCCAGCAGGAATGTGTGAGTACGTGAGATAAGAGAAGAGATAAGCAGTTTTGAGGATATGATGTGTTGTTAAAGTTTGAGCATGGTAATATTTATTAAGAGGCTCAGAAAATCCGTTTAATCGGATCTGAGTCCTGGAAGTGGGAAATACAGTGCCTGCATTCTGAATGATGGGTGAGGATTCTGCAGTTCTGAGGGCCATTGCAAATGTGATGTTTGCACACTTCTGGCAAGAAAACAATCTTGGTGGGAAATGACTACTGTGGTTAAAAAAAAAAATATATATATATTTAAGACTACAGAGTCTAGTAATGATAAACAAGCAGTCACTGCTGCTTATATCTGTCGTTGGGCCAACAGCTACCCCACATTCATTTGTGTTCTTAGACACCACCCTTCTGTCATATGCTCCTGCCATAAAGTAGGTACCGGGAGAAGTTAACACCTGACCAGGCATAGGGGGCAGATGTCTGCCTTTTAAGAATGGATGGATGTTAACTCCTCCTGGGCAGCCTAGCCCAACTGGTCTAAGGGTAGTCACATGACACACACACTAATGGTCAGAGAGGCCCAAATATGGGTGGGCACTCATGTGTGTTCAAACATTAACAACAATGTATAATTCACAATACACTCAAATTTAAACGAATGGCAAATTTTGGCCTCAGCATGATGGGAACAGCTAACCTCTGACCCAGCATTTGGTTAAATGATGATTAGGGGACATTTTTGTGATGGTTTTCATAGTTTTATTGGCCATTTCTTGGCACCAACAGATAAACTGGAAGAGATAATAGTAAAATAGAGAAGACTGTGATTAGTATTCAGATACAATGTGCCTTAAAATAGGTGTCAAATTTGCAGAAACTGGTGATTTTCCTGGGGAAGGGAAGAGTAGGGGAAAATCATCTAGCCTCCTTCCTCAGGTCAGTTTTGTGTTTTTTACTAGGTCTACTTCAGTTATAAGGACAGCCTAAAAAGAACCAAGCATTCTTGGCAAAAACACCAAATTTTGTGTCTGACGGTGGATTTAAATTGGAGGGCAAGTGTAGGAGAAGGCCTGGGGATGTGATTAATAAGTAAAAGGAAGGTTGTTTTAGTGGCTGGAATGTCTACAGTCTTTGTTTTGAACCCTACTTTAAAATTGAAATTTGTTGAAAATAGTGTAAAATTTACTATATTATTGACTTCCCAGGATTAATTAGGGTAGTTCTGATGGCTGAATGGACAATTTCTTGTGATCAGTGGGAATTTGGTCAGTTTGTGCACTGGATTTGGCCTATAACAGGCCTATAATTGGGTAAAATTTCTCTTGTTTAAAGTGCCCCCTGGTCTCCAATTTTGCATTTCTGTAATTCTGTAAGTATTACATTAAACTTTGCATTTTGGTGTCATTACCCTTCAAAAAAAATTCTCTATCACTTTATTTTTTTTCTTTAAATAATAAAAGAGAAGTGGCTTTCAATCTGGGGGCTGCTAACATTTTCAGGGTTAACATGTTTAAGTGTTAGTGACCATGCACTTCAGAATTGTGTAACTGGGTCAATAGATTTGGAAAAACGGACAAAGTTAGTTGGTTACAGAACTGTTGGTTATACTATCATGACAAAACAATCTCTTCCCCATTCACAACAACAGTTATTACCAGCTACCCATTCCTCCCCCAATAGCTCGTTACATCAAGCTTTACCAAATACAAGCCTTTGTCTTTATTTACAACTAGCCAACAAGTCATTAATAAACACCTCAGTCCACACTAGACCACTATTAAGTCACATGAGAAAAGGAATGATAAGAGAAAGCCAGAAGTCAGGTCAATTAAAGAGAGGCTAGGAGACAGACAATGCTACGTCAAATCACTTCTGTTCTGCAGATCAGTACATTTAATAATGTACTGTATTGGGAAAGGCAAACATCTACATAAACAAAGCCAGGGCTAAGATTCACATCAGGCAAGTTATGCATAATGGCCAATCCAAAGAGATTGAGGAGGGATAGATAATACAGAGTACTGGCAATTTCATCTCTAATTTGTGAGTTAGTTGTGAATGTTTTTTCTATATTATTGTCATGTTTATTCTATCTGTATCTGTATGATCATTATGTCAAACCAGTTTTCTTAATCATTCATCCTCTTCACCTGTTAATCAAATTAAAAAGCAACCTCCCATTGATTTATTAAACATAGGCTATAGACTCACAAATTGTTGCCCTTCAGTGCTGCATGATGGAGGACATTAAAACCACGTTTGTTTCGCAGCGTCAGGTCCAGGTGCGGCGAGTTACCAAGCAACTCTAAAATTTCTATACTCTCCTTCCCTATTGCATCATGCAATGCAGTATCACCATACGAGTCCTGAAAAGACAAATTATATATTATTGTTGGCATCACATTTGTACTACTAGCTGTATTAAGTGATTTTATTACTGAAGATATTTTTGCAGGGGTGGTAAGAGGCAATGAAAAGCATTAGGATAATTGTCAAATAATTGCCAGAATTAGGATAATTACCTCCTACTGTAGCAAAGGAATTTTAAAGTTTGTTCATAGTATCAATAGTTGAGAGGGATGGGGGCAGGAATTCCAAGTTGAAAAAATTTCTGTTTTACCGCATTGAAATGAAGATTACGAAAATTACAAAATGTAGCAAAAAATAAAACTCTGATAATGTTTCCTCTCTAATTTAAACTTCTCACATCCCATGGAATGTGCTATGCTTTTGTAATTCTTTACTGTACTGAGCACATCATGCTATTGCACTTGTTCACAACATTTCATTCATTTGGTTACTCATCATTTCAGGAATGTAACCAAAGTGTGAGAGTTTACTAGGTATTAACAACTTAGTATTAAAATAACAAAGTTTAAACATCAGTGGTAATTTACAGTTGGATATTTAGAAATGGCAAAGTATTTCTTACAAATTAACTCCCTAAATCAATATTTTTTAATCATTCATACATACCTGAACATTAACATCACAGTTGTATTTGAGAAGTACTTTAACACAGGCAGCATGTTGTTTGTTGACTGCCACATGCAAGGCAGAACACCTGCCCTTGTTTACTATGTTAATAGAGGCATTTTTTCGTAGTAACAACTCCATGATCTCTGGCTGGTTCCTAAAGCAGTAGTGAGAAATGTAAAGTTACAAAAGAATAAACTATAGCAACTAAGGGATTTTATAATATGAAGTAAAGAAATATACTGTGAGACATACTGTACTTTAAGTATACATTATGGTATGCATATTATAATGCTTGCACTACTCTGAGTATACATTTATGTATACTCTTTGAAAGAGGCACCAGTTTTTTTTTTTGGGGCAGTGTCACAAGTAATGTACAATACAGAAATGTAACTTCGTGTTCATCATTTTAATAAAAAAAGTAATTGCCAATATCCCAGGTAGTAGGTTGGAAGATAGCAACCACCCAGGGAAGTACTACCATCATGCTGAGTGTAAAACAAAAGTCTGTAATTGTTTTACATGATGGTAGGATTGCTGGTGTCTTTTTTCTGTCTCATAAACATGCAAGATTTCAGGCATGTCTTGCTACTTCTATTTACACTTGGGTCACACTACACATCCATGTACAAGCATATATATACAGACCTTTCTGGATTTTCTTCTATTTAATACTAATTCTTGTTCTTGTTTATTTACTCTTATCTCCATGGGGAAGTGAAAGAGAATTCTTCCTCCGTAAGCCATGTGTGTCATAAAAGGCAACTAAAATGCTGGGAGCAAGAGGCTAGTAACCCCTTCTCCTGTATACATTACTAAAGTTAAAAAGAGAAACTTTTGTTTTTCTTTTTGAGCCACCCTGCCTCGGTGGGATACAGCTGGTTTGTTAAAAGAAGAACTGCCAATATTTCATAAATGTATTAGTTTGAAAGTTCATTGGAATAACCAGACTTACCCAAAGGCTGCATAATGCAAAGCCAAATCACCATCATCATCGGCAATATCTAATGAAGCCTTATGGTTGAGCAAGAGTCGTACAATATCCATGTGACCCTGATGGCATGCAACTTGTAGACACGTTTTTCCAGAGCTTCGTCCATCTACCTAAAAGTCGTAACACGATAGCACATCATCAAAATGAAGGTATAATAAATTCAGAGCTAATTTAGTATACAATAACTATATCTTTTATTTAAAAAGTCTATCAGGATATTTAGACATTTACCTACCTATTTATAAACCACATTACCTTCATTTCCACTCTTGCTTACAAAAAAGTACAAAAATTCACAGCATCTCCAACTTGTACTAGAGCATATTTGTGTTAAGTCTGAGTTAGGTTTGCATTTATATTAGGCACATAATTTTACATCATTTCTTAAATTACTTACATAGCAGGTGTCCCACTTACAATGTTAATGTACTCCTAAAAGCTGTAATCTGAGTGGTCAGAACTTGGAACCTATTTTTCCATAGATTCACACACATCATAAAATGGAGATGCATTCCTGAGCCATAATATTCCAGATCTAATTTCACTTAATTTCTCAAGAATATTTACCCAAAATTTTACATTTCGTACCTCTCCTTTTCACTTACAAATAATATTGTTTAAATAATGTATACAAGTTAATTAAGCAGAAAGGAGCTATAATACAGTATAAGTACAGTACAGATGTGTAGGGACAGGCAGCAGATGGACTGTCTCCATTCCTCTCTCATTCTCTTCTTCACTTCCATCCTCTCTCTTGTCATTATCTAACTGAAGACTATTTACATATGCTCACCACTCTCTTGTTATGGTATACCTTACCATTGATATACCTTTGATGAGTTTTGAGTCTCACTACTCTCGGAGCACGGCCATGGGCCAGGCTCGTCTGGTGCTTGCCTGATCAACGAGGCTGTTGCTGCTGGAAGCTCACTGCCCCACATATTCATCACAGCCTGGTTGATCCAGCACCTGGTGAAGATACTTGTCCAGTTTCCTCTTGATGGCTTCTACACTTGTTCCAGCTGTTTTTCGGATATCCTCTGGTAAGATGGTGAATAGTCTGGGGCCATGAATGTTCATACAGTGTTCCCTTATCGTGCCTACTGCACCCCTGCTCCTCACTGGGTTTATTTTGTACTTCCTCCCATATCTCTCACTCCAGTATGTTGTTACGGCAGTGTGCAGATTTAAGACCAGGCCCTCAAGTACTTTCCAGGTACACTGTACATGTATCTCTCTCTCCTCCACTCCAATGAGAACATGCTCAAGACTTTAACCCTTAAACTGTTCAAACGTAGATCAACGTTTTCACGGCTTATTTATCTATCACAAATCATCTAATATGACATAATAAACAATATTAATAACAAAGAAACATGGCATATACAGTGGACCCCCGGTTAACGATATTTTTTCATTCCAGAAGTATGTTCAGGTGCCAGTACTGACCAAATTTGTTCCCATAAGGAATATTGTGAAGTAGGTTAGTCCATTTCAGACCCCCAAACATACACGTACAAATGCACTTACATAAATACACTTACATAATTGGTCGCATTGGGAGGTGATCGTTAAGCGGGGGTCCACTGTACTCTAGAATGAATAAAATACGTCATTAAGTATGTGACAAGTGTTGCTGTGTTGTTGTTGTTGGGTGCATAAGGGCCACTGAGAGCATAAGCTGTACATATTGCTGGTGCAGGCAGCAGCTGAGGCAGCAGAGACAGGGTGTTCTCAGTTGCCCTATATACTTCCAACAACATTGGAGGAGTTGGGTTCGTGCTGTCATTTTTCTATCGATTAATTGCTTAACTTACTTGCTACACTGTTACTGCTACACTTTATCACTGGCTGGCACTATAGTCTTTATCGACTCTTGCTGCTTTAGTATTGTACATATTATAGAATCACTGAAGAAGGCACATTTTCCCCTCTCACTTCCTCCTCCACTTTGGTACTCTGCTACGTGTTCTTGAATTCTATAGTCTTTCTCACCTTCTTTACCAAAGGACTGGCACTAGTACAATATTTTATGATGTTTTCATGTGTTTTATGATTGTTCATGGTTCAATAGGTTAAGGAAGCAGTATTGTTAGGCTAAGTAAATGCTATTATTATATTTCCCTACAATATATTGGAGCACCAAACATTCACGATTTTCCAACATTTGCGAAGTTCTTGATCCCCTAACCTTCACAAATGTTGAGGGATACCTGTATTTATAGGTCTCAGGAATGTTTTACACATGCTGGAGTATATATGAAACTCCTTGAAGCATGGTGTTAAGACAAATGTCACTAAACTGCTGACAGTGCAGCAGTTGAATGACACTCGATGAATGTGCCCTGCTCCAGGGAACCCTGGCTTTATTTTTCACTGTTACACACTAACATGTCTGTCTGTCTGTCTGTCTGTCTGTGTCTAGCTCTGCTCATCTGTCTGTCTAGCTCTGCTTATCTGTCTGTCTATCTCTGCTTATCTGTCTTTCTGTCTGCCTGTGTGTGTGTGTGTCTGTCTTTCCGTCTGCTTGTCTCTGTCTCAGAGAGCAGCTCGTAAACCAATAGGTATTACACACAATGCAAAGTCGTCACGTCTCATTCCTGATCAAGTAAAAAATGTGTACTACTTGCCAGCCATGCTTATTATGCCTTATATCTACAAGCTTATATCTGACGAGCTGTTGGAGAGTGACCAGGTAATATTTAGTGAAGGGATTCAGGGAAACCGGTTATTTTTATATAGGTGGACTTGAGTCCTGGAAATGGGAAGTACAATGCCTGTGCTTTAAAGGAGGGGTTTAGGATATTGGCAGTTTGGAGGAATATGTTGTGTATCTTTATACGTATATGCTTCTAAACTGTTGTATTCTGAGCACCTCTGCAAAAAGTGATTATGTGTGAGTGAGGTGAAAGTGCTGAATGATGAAATTATTTTCTTTTTGAGGGTTTTTTTTCTTGCTTTTTGGGTCACCTGCCTCGGTGGAAGACGGCCGACTTGTTAAAAAAAAAAATCTATAAGCACTGTAGAGCACTTTGCCTGGAATTTTTGGGTTATCCTAAATAATTTACACGATGTATAATAACTGTACTTACATGTAGCTAAAAGAGATTGAGACAGACAGACATAGACACAGAGATAAAGACAGAGAGACAGCCAAAGTCAGTCAGTCAAAGTCAGTCAAGTCAGTCAGCCAGTCAGCTAGCCAGCCAAAAATGTATTACACATGTTCCAGAATCTTCTCTTTACTTAGGGCATAGGGTATAGGACATTCTGGCAGGATGTCACTTACATTGGTATCAGAAATGAAAGGATATTGCACAAATGTTGCACATGGGTTATTATCAAGGTTTTTGACATTTCCTCAACCACTTGCGGCCACCTCCATCTCAAAGCCACTAAACTATGGGTCAACATCACTTTCCTCATAAAAGGGGAGTGTTAATATGACATGACATCAGTGAATCCCTGGTGTTTGCCACGCTATTTGCTCTAGCTGGCACTCAACTGAAATGGTGCTCCCACAAGGTGCTAACTGATCCCAAATTTTTTTAATACTATGCACACCGAGTGTTAAGACCCATTCTATGCTGACCAGGCATCTCAGGCCAATTGTGCCAAATTTGAACGCAGGAAAAATATAATGTAGATCTGCGTTTAGAGCACTAATGGTACAAACATAGATCTACGTTTGGACAGTTTAACCCTTTGAGGGTCGAGAGGTCCTCTCCCAAACTCGTTCTCAAGGTCGAAAAATTTTTGAAAAAAAAAAAATTCATGAAATGATAGAGAATCTTTTTCTGATCATAATGACACCAAAAGTATGAAATTTGATGGAAAACTTACGAAATTATGCTCTCACGAAGTTAGCGGTCTCAAAGTGGGCGATTTTGCCCACTTTGAGACCTATTTTCGGCCAAATCCAATGTTGCAGTTGACTAAAATCACAGCTATTTCCCTAGAACTCCATTTGTTCTATCGATTGAGTACACGAATCTGCCCATTTACTGATTTCAACTACCCAATAAAGTGGTCAGAAATTGGCAATTTGGGCAATTTCACGCAAATTTCAAAAGATGCCAATTTCTAAATAGGGTCCAGAATAAACAAGACAGACATTCATGACACTAAAATAACATTTTATCTGTTCATTAGACACGTCTCTAGGCCCCTCTTACATTTGTTTTTGAATATTTATTCTCACAGAAAATAGAAGATTTTCTGTTATATATATTACTACATCATTGTAAAAACGGTATAAATTATATCAGCACACTTGTGAAAGAATATTAGACTCACTAGTTGATGTGTATTGGACGCATGGCTTGATTTGTTTACTCTTGAACATCGGTAAAAATTGATCATTTCCGCTACTTTGAGCTCAATTTCAAGGTATTTGTCATCATGAAACCAATCATCTCTAATTCTGTAATATATCTTCCATTCAATCAAATGAGACCAAGGAAATGAGAATACAACCATAAATACCATACGAAAATAACTAGAAAGTCGCCGTTTAAAACCAAAAACACAAAGTTTTTTTTTTCTCATTATGCACAGCGTGCTTCAGGATTTTTTTTATACTGCACACACTGACCACACAGACCCATTCTTTCATATGTAGGCCTGCCAGCTCTCTTCCACCAGATTTGAAGGTACCAGAATTTAGGCGTACAAGTATGTGACCGATCCTGGCTGCAATGACGTACTTGTGTGTGACCGACCCTCAAAGGGTTAAGAGTTAAGGCATTCCCAGTAACCTAAATGCTTTACTAGCTCTGTGTACTGTAAACCATCTCTGTAATTGTTCCAGTTCTGATATTTCTCCAGCCTTGAACAGGGCTGTCAGCACTGAGCAATATTCTAAATGAGGGAATACTAGCGATTTGAAGAGTGTCACCAGACTCATGGAACTCCGTGTTCATCAAGAACTGCAAGAAGCCCCTATCACGAGCCTTTTCCATCCTATGGAGAGGGAGCATGGACACGGGGGTCGTCCCACAGTTACTAAAAACAATAGACAGCCCCACTCCACGAAGGGGGCAGTAAACCAACAGCAAAGAACTACAGACCGATAGCACTAACATCCCATATCATAAAAATCTTTGAAAGGGTCCTAAGAAGCAAGATCACCACCCATCTAGAAACCCATCAGTTACACAACCCAGGGCAACATGGGTTTAGAACAGGTCGCTCCTGTCTGTCTCAACTATTGGATCACTATGACAAGGTCCTAAATGCACTAGAAGATAAAAAGAATGCAGATGTAATATATACAGACTTTGCAAAAGCCTTCGACAAGTGTGACCATGGCGTAATAGCGCACAAAATGCGTGCTAAAGGAATAACAGGAAAAGTCGGTCGATGGATCTATAATTTCCTCACTAACAGAACACAGAGAGTAGTCGTCAACAGAGTAAAGTCCGAGACAGCTACGGTGAAAAGCTCTGTTCCACGAGGTACAGTACTCGCTCCCATCTTGTTCCTCATCCTCATATCCGACATAGACAAGGATGTCAGCCACAGCATCGTGTCTTCCTTTTGCAGATGACACCCGAATCTGCATGACAGTGTCTTCCATTGCAGACACTGCAAGCTCCAGGCGGACATCAACCGAATCTTTCAGTGGGCTGCAGAAAACAATATGAAGTTCAACGATGAGAATTTTAAAATTACTAAATATGGTAAACACAGGAAATTAATCTTCATCAGATTTAAAAACAAATTCGGGCCCACAAAAAGAGCGAAACCCCAAACGTCAAAGACCGGGGAGGCATTGGGAGGATCTCCCCTTAAAGGGGACCATAACATTTGTACAACGCATTGTAAAAAATGACGGGATGGAAATGAGAACCTTCAAAATAGGGAGGCCAAGCCCAGATGACACTCTTCGGGTCCTGTTCTTCTGGGCTGGAATATTGCTGCACACTAACACCCCCCTTTCAAGGAAGGTAAAATTTTGCTGACCTAGAAAAATGACAGAAACCTTCCGGGGCATAACAGAAAAACACCTCAATTATGGGAGCGCTTGGGGTCCAAAATGTATTCCTGGAAGCAGGGGGGAGAGATACTATTTATTACACCTGGAAAATCAGAGGGGTAGTACCGAACTTGCACACGAAAAACACTCACTACGAAAGCAAAAGACTTTGGGAGACGATGCAACATCCCCCAATGAAAAGCAGGGGGGGTCACTACCGTTAAGAGACATACAAAAGTGTCAGGGGCCGAGATGTTCAAAATGCCTCCCAGCATACTAAGGGGGATTACCAAAAAGACCCCGGCGTCTTCAGCTGGCATGGACAAGCACCTAAAGTCGGCTCCTGACCAGCCGGGCTGTGGCTCGTACGTTGGTTTGCGTGCAGCCAGCAGCAACAGCCTGGTTGATCAGGCTCTGATCCACCAGGAGGCCTGGTCACAGACCGGGCCGTGGGGGCGTTGACCCCCGGAACTCTCTCCAGGTAATGACATAATTTCCTTTGTTTTGAAAGTTCTTGATACCCACCCCGTCATCATTCTGGCTGTCATGACCTTTGTCTTATTGTGTTCTTTGAAAGATCAGCTTGCATCATTATTTCTAAGTCTTTAACATGTTCCTTTTGCTCTATTAGGTGATCCTGTTGAGTTTTGTATATAGTGTCTCTTTTGAGTTCTTCGTTCTTTCCATACCTAAGCAGCTGGACCTTATCACCATTGAACGTCATGTTGTTCTCCACTGCTCACTGGAAAATCCTGTTTGTGTCTTCCTGTAATTTTTCAGTGTCTTCTACTGTAATGACTTTCATGCTTATTTTAGTGTCATCTGCAAATGATGATACAAAACTGTGACAGATGTTTTTATCTTTGTCTGCTATGAGGATGAGAAACAGTATAGGTGCCAAGACAGTACCTTGGGGAACTGAGCATTTTGCCTTGCTGATGCTGGATTTTGCTCTGTTTACTGCTACTTTTTGTGTTCTGTGTTAGGAACCTGAAAAACCATCTGCCCACCTTCCTGTAATGCCTATGGCTTTCATTTTTTGCGCTATCACTCCATGATCGAATTTGTCAAACGCCTTTGCAAAATCTCTGTAAATCACATCTGCATTTTGGTTGTCTTCCAATGCCTCCATAATTCTGTTGTAGTAGTTCGGTAGCTGTGACAGGCATGACCGCCCTGCTCTAAAACCATGCTGGTCTCAGTTATGCCAGTTGTGCTGGTCCAATAAATTTGTAATCTGCCGTCTCATCACTCTTTCGAAGATTTTTGTGATGTGAGAAGTTAGGGCTACTAGTCTGTAATTTTTAGCCAGTGCTCTACTACTTCCCTTATGTAAAGGAGCTAAGTCTGCACTCTTTAAGATCTCTGGTCTTTCACCTAGATCTAGGCTCTTTCTCCAAAGTATACTGTGGGCTTGTGATAGTGGTGCTTTGCACTTCTTTATAAATAGAGCATTCCATGAATCTGGTCCAGGTGCTAAGTGAGTGGGCATGTTATCCATTTCTTTTTCGAAATCTATGGTGAGGGTATGAGGTTCCTGGTTTTATAGGATGGGAAGGTTGTGGTGAGGATAACTGTGTGAGGGATAAGGTAGCACAGGAGAGCCAAGCTCCTCACTCACCGACACATCTTGTACATGAGGGTAGCAGCAGCTTCCACAGCCCCAAAGAACATCCTAATAATTTCATTTACAGTTCTTTATTAATCTCTACTGAAAAACAAACTCCACAAAAGCATACAAAGAACATACAAAATTAGCATAAGTAGCAAGAAACTAACAAAGATAATAATAATACAGCATTTATAATTCAGCCTTAAGAAAATTGTAAGGATTAAATCTATAGTTCTTGAATATCTCCACTAAACAAGTGTGAGTTCTTTATTTTTTTCTTTTAACACATCAGCCGTTTCCCACTGAGGAAGGGTGACCCAAAAAAAGAAAAAAACACTTTCCTCATCAATTACACATAATCACTGTCTTTGCATAAAATAAACACACAAAGTATGAAATTCATTTGGTAAAAAAAATAAAATATAATTTTTGTTTGGACATTTGCAATGATCATAACTGCAGATCAGTTTGTAAGTATAATGAATTTGTTCCAAAGTACCAATACTGTAAACATAAGAAGTCGGAACATCATAAGTCAGGGACCTACTATAAAGTACTGTATTCACAAGCTTTTTTTTAAAACATAAGTAATCTCCCACTGAGGTAGGGTGACCTGACAAAGAAAAAACGCTCTTACTGTCACTCATTCAATCACTGTCTTGCCAGAAATATGCTGACATCACAGTTCAGATGACCCTCCAAACCACATTACCACCCCTCTTTCAGAATTCAGGTACTTTTACTTCTCACTACTAGGACTCGTGTCCTTTCATAAATGTTACCTTGCTCACACTCCAACATGTCAAAGAGTAAAAACCACTTGCCTCCATTCACTCTTATCTAACATGCTCACACAAATTTGTTGAAGGCCCAAGCCTAGAATGACCCATATCCCTCCTTCCCTCCACCCCACATTCACCTGCCCTTCTAGTCAACCAATTTTTCTCCATCCTCTCTAAATGTCCAAACCACCTCAACACCACCTCAGCTCTCTGAATAACACTTTGGTAACTTCACACCTCATCCTAATCTCAAAACTTCAAATTCTATGCATAATATTCACACCATACATTGTCCTCAAATACAGCATCTCTACTACCTCCACCTTCCTCCACTCTTTAACATTTAGAACTTATTTCACACCCATACACAGAACTGGTACAACAATACTATGGTACATTCCTCTTAATTGCCTCCATGGATTAAATTCTTTGTCTCACAGATGCCTCAATGCACCACCTATCTTTTTTCCCCCTGAAGAGATAAGTTCAGGCCATAGTGATAAATTACTTATACGTATCTGGAAAATCACCATAGTGCAAAACAATCAGCTTTCCCTAACAGAACTGTTGTAGTACTTGAATGACAGTTGTCATCCAAGCATTTCTCAACCACCTAAATACAGTATAGCTAAACAGCTATTCACCCTTGAATTTGATTTGGGGCTTTCACAATTAAAAGAGCTTAATACCTCACAGATGTATAAGCATTATAAAAAAAAATAAAAAAAAATTCTCTAAGCAAATTTTTTAAAAAATTACAATATATATACGTAAATGTCTTAATATAAGATCCTCTTTTTTACAATTATAATAAATATAATATGGATGACTGAGCTAGGGTAAATTTTCCTTTGTATTCTGTGGTGCTCAAAATATAAAAACATGAAAAAGATTAAATCCTCATTCATTATGTACCAAGTATATACAGTACTCTGAAATCTATAGTCTGAATTTAATGTATAGACCTCCAACAAACTTTGTTGATAACACTACCAATTTACTTTTTTTATATAAACTGTTTTCCATTCAGTCTCTCCATTCACCCAAACCAGCTGAGAACTAACATCTTTTATTCAACTGATTGCTGTATATCATGCTGAACATCCTTCTCCCTCACTCTGTTTACTACTGATACTGACCTTATCTGGATGTTTTGCAAGGAGATGAGAGACAGCTTGAGTGTGTCCCTGTGCAGCCTCTCTCACCAGCTGATCCACTACTGAGCTGTCCTGCTCTGTATCAAGCAACTGATGCAACAGTGAGGCTAGAGGTCCTGACCAAGGGTAAAATTTTGACTGTTCAGTGCCTATATATTTATATGTAATACATTCCTGGGAGTTACATATCTTACATACTGACATTACTGTTCCTATGTTATTACTGTAACAGTATAGAAACAAAACAAACAAATCATTCATGTCATAATTATATATTTTTAAGGTCGAAGTATCTTTAGGAATTTCTTAACCCTTAAACTGTCCACACGTAGATCTACGTTCATGTGCGGGGGGCTCCAAATGTAGGTCAACGTTTTATTTTTCATTCCTTCAAATTTGGTGCGATAGGCCTGAGTCGCCTAGACATGAAAGAATGGGTCTGTGCACTCAGTGTGCACAGTATGAAAAAATCAGGGACCGCTTAGTACCTTGTGGGAACACCAGTTCAATTAAGTACCAGCTAGAGCAAATAGCATTGCAAATACCAGTGATTCACTGATGTCATATTAACACTCACATTTTAAGTAGTAAAAATAAGTTAGATAAATACATAAGTGAGTGTGGGTGGGTGTGAGTTAGACCTGACTAGCTTGTGCTACTAGGTCAGATGCCATGCTCCTTCCTTCACTGGATGTGACCTGACTTGGTGGGTCATTGGTCTAAGCTGGGAGGGGGGGGGTGACATGGACCTGCCTTGCATGGGCCAGTAGGCCTGCTGCAGTGTTCTTTCTTATGTTCTAATGTATTCGGCTGGCTGGCTGGCTTTGGCTGTCTCTGTATTTGTCTGTCTATATCTCTGTCTATCTCTGTCTCTCACATGTACTCATGTACTTATAAGTACAGTTATTATACATAATGTAAATTACCTAGGATAACCCAAAAATTCCAGGCCAAGTGCTACACAGTGTTTGTATATATAAGACATAAATAAACATGACCACACACAGAAGACAGAAAGGCAGATAAGTTGAACTAGACAGACAGATAAGCAGAGCTAGGCAGACAGACAGATGTACAGATAGACAGACAAATAGATGTACAGATAGACAGACAGGCAGACAGACTGATAGACAGACATACAGAGACATGTTTGTGTACAAGAGTAAAAACATATAAAAGCAAGGTTCCCTCCAGCAGCACACATTCATCAAATGCCACTGGCTGTCACTTATCTGACCCTTGTCATAACACCATTCCTCAGAGTTTCATACTCCAGCGTGTCTAAAACATTGCTGGGACTTATAAATCTTTCTTCTTTCAACAAACTGGCTGTATCCCACCGAGGCGGGGTGGCCCAATAGCAAAAACGAAAGCTTCTCCCTTCACATTTAGTAATATATACAGGAGAAGGGGTTACTAGCCCCTTGCTCCCGGCATTTTAGTCGCCTCTTACAACACGCATGGCTTACGAAGGAAGAATTCTGTTCCACTTCCCCATGGAGATAAGAGGAAATAAACAAGAACAAGAACTAGAAAGAAAACAGAAGAAAACCCAGAGGGTTATGTATGTATATATATGCTTGTATATGTATGTGTAGTGTGACCTAAGTGTAAGTAGAAGTAGCAAGACATACCTGAAATCTTGCATGTTTATGAGACAGAAAAAAGGACACCAGCAATCCTACCATCATGTTCACCTGTCAGTGTGATTGTTACTATTTGAGTACTATTTCAGTACATAATATTAGTGTCAGAACAAAGATTGGCTATGAAATCACAAGAACTATTACAAATTGTAATTATCAGAACATTACAATTACATAAATTAAAATAAAAATGAGAAAAAAGGTAAATCGGCAACACTTTTGCAAGCAGCAAGACTGGATGTTGCCATCAGGTGAGCATCCAGAGCCAACTTCGTGGTCTTATATCTTGGTACATACTGGCCCTAAAATTTTTGGGGAGGTCTTATACCACACAGAAAATTGTCCTCTTTAATTTAAAAAAAAAAAAAAAAAATTATTTTTCAAAATACTCAGAGCGCCACACAGATGAACGCAGATCTACATTTGGACAGTTTAAGGGTTAGCTAACAAATTCATAACCTGTGCAATAATACTGTATATACAAGTTGACCATCACTAATCCGGTATCATTGGGACCTGTAGGGTGCTGGATTAGTGATTTTGCTGGATTACAGAGTGATTAGGCTAGAATACACTTAACCCAATGGCAATATTTATGCTCTATTTTTGGCCCATTCCATTGTTCCAGTCTACCAAACTTGTAGCTATTTTGCTAGTATTCCTTCTATTGTGTAGAAACCGTCCATTTACCTATTTCAACTACCAAATAAAGTGGTCAGAAATCAGTAATCTGGTCAATTTCACACAAATTTCAAGAGATGCCAATTTCAAAATAGGGTCCAGAATAAACAATGCAAACATTCCTGGCACTAAAATAACATTTTCTCTGTTCATCAGTCATGTCTCCAGGCCCCTCTTATACAGTGGAACCTCAGTTTTCGTATGCCCCAGTTTTCGTAGGATTAATTTTTCAACGACTTTTTCCATCGAGATTTTGTCCCAGTTTTCATACATTACCTCAGTTTTCGTAGAGTTGACAATGATCCGTATCAAATGCATCTGCTTACGTCACTCAGCCACTCAAGCCCCGAGTGACTGAAGTCTGCCTTTGTTTATTGTTGAGTGAGCATCACCCTGCATGTTCAGCCAGGGTGATGTGCTTGTTTATTGAGTGTGACTGCTAAATAAGCCACCTTGTGGCCAAAGAAAGTTCCAAGTGCCATTCCTTTGATAAAGAAGGTGAGAAACACGATAGAATTCAAAAAAGAAGTCGTAGCTAAGTACGAAAGTGACTCTCAAGCTGGTCCTAGTGCCAGTAAAAGACAAAGAAGGGAAGTAACCCCAGATAGGGCCTTGATATCTGAAGTCCTTATGGAAGGGGATTCCCATTCCAAACAATATCCTCTCCCCTCCTTGCCATCTTCCATATGCCAACAAGAGTCTTCAATAAAGGTAAAAGTGATGTTAAATGTTCATTTATCCATTTCATTAGTCATTTATATTTATTTCTCATTTTTTCTGTATGTAAAACTATAGTTATTCTCTATAAAATGTACTTTTTGTTAATATTTTTGGGTGTCTGGAACAGATTAATTGGATTTACATTATTTCTTATGGGAAATATTGCTTCAGTGTTTGTACGATTCGGGTTTCGTTAGCCTTTCTGGAACAAATTAATCATGAAAACCGAGGTTCCACTGTATTATTCTTGCTTTCCGTTTTGAATTTTTATTCACACAAAAAATTAGAAGATTTACCGTTATGCAGACTACTACATTATTGTAATAATTGTATAAATAGACTGACCAGTTGGACATGTACTGAACAGTGATGTTATTTGTTTCCTCTTGAACATGGGCAAAAAATCAAACATTTCCACTACTTTGAGCTCAATTTCAAGGTACTTTCCACAGTGAAACCAATCAAAATCATATCTATTTCTGTAACATATCTTCCATCCTATCAAATGAGACCAACAAAATGAGAATACAGTGGACCCTCGCTTTTAGTAATTAATCTGTTCCATAGTGTGACTAATATCGAAATTGACGATTTGCGAAACCATTTTCCCCATAAGAAATAATGTAAATCCAATTAATCCATTCCAGACACCCAAAAGCCTTAAAACAAATTTTTTTTACATGAAATATAGATGTACATACACAGAAAACAATGAGACATGAATGAAACAATAATAGAATGGCACTTACCTTTATTGAAGAGTCTGCTTATTGTATGGAAGACGGGAGGACGGGAGAGGATGGATTAATTACTGTTTGGAAGGGGAATCCCTTTCCATAAAGCCTTCAGGTACCAAGTGCCTTTCCACGGTTACTTCCCTTCTTTGTTCTTTAATGTCACTAGGACCAGCTTGAAAGTCACTGTACACCTGTGGCACTAAATATCTGTCCAGAGAGCTCTGTTTCTGGCATCTCTTTAAAATTTCCCTAAAATAGGACAAGACATTAACACTGTACATGTTGCTGACACAGCTTGCAAGAGCTTTGTCAGGGTGATGCTCCTCCACAAATCTTTCCATCCTACTCCACATTGCACAAATCTCCTAAATCTCTGATGAAGGCACCTGCTTCCATCTCTCTCCCTCCTCCTCTGAAGCAATTTCCTGAGCTGTGGTCTGTTGCTATTCCAGATGAAGCTCTTGCAGCTCTTCAGTGGTTAGCACTTCACTGTGGTCCTCCATCAACTCCTCCATATCCTCACCATTCACATCCAACCCCATGGAATTCTGCACTGCCACAACAGATTCCACAACAGGCATAGGGTCCTCAGGATCAGTCCCAAATCCTTCAAAATCCCTCTTTTGGATACAATCTGGTCACAATTTTCTCCAAGCAGAGTTCAAAGTCCTGGAAGTCACTCCCTTCCAAGCCTTACCTATAAGGTTTATGCAATGGAGAATACTAAAGTGATCTTTCCAAAACTCTCTTAGGGTCAACCGAGTGTCTGAGGTTACATCAAAGCACCTTTGAAAGATTGCTTTGGTGTAGAGTTTTTTGAGGTTTGCAATGATCTGCTGGTTTATGGGCTGGATGAGAGGAGTGATATTAGGGGGCAAGAACTTCACTGTGATGAAACAAAACTTCTCCACAATTTGGTCATCCAAGTCTGGAGAATGAGCAGGTGCATTGTCCATTACCAGGAGACACGCGAGTTCCAATTTATTTTCCAGGAGGTATTTCTTCACACTGGGGCCAAACACTTCATTGAACCAATCAAGGAAAATTTCCCTTGTGACCCATGTTAGCCTTCCACATCACACACAATTTACTCTTGGTGACAAGTTCTGCCACACGCACTCCACTTTCATAATATTTTTCAATGATGTCTTTCTTGAATTCTATCATGTTTCTCACCTTCTTTACCAAAGGCCTGGCACTAGGAGCTTTCTTTGGAGCCATGGTAGCTTATTTAGCAGTTGCAAGCACTAAAACAAATAAAATACAGTGGTCCCTCGTTTATCGTCGTTAATCAGTTCCTGGAAGTGCAACTATTATCGAAATAGACGATTT